GTGTGTGTGTGTGTGTGTGACTTTAGGGTTCAGCAGTGAGCCATACGAGTGAAAAGAGGCTGACAGAGGTTGTTGTCGTCTGGAATGCTCCCAAAGATGCTCCCAGTGAGGTTCAGTTTTTGTGAGTTTCAACCTCTTAGATTGAAAGCTGTATCATTTTCCTCAACTATATTGGTCACAAGTGATAATTATGGAATAATTGGAAGTTGTGAAACAAAGTTTGCAAGTACAAGAACAGAAGAGTCAGGAAACTGTCCAAGGAATGTCAGATACAGCTCTATTTCTGTGCTGTTTTGCATGAATAGAAGTTGAATAAACAAAGAAGCGAGAGAATTAGCAAAACAAAAGCGAACACTGTCGTTGCTCTCCAGCGCTGCAGACAGAATGCTTCTTACAGACAGAATGCTTCTTACAGACAGAATGCTTCTTACAGACAGAATGCTTCTTACAGACTGTTCAGTCAAAAGCTGTTAATGCTAACATGGGTTATTTAGCCATAGACCTATTAGCAAACCTGCCTTTTTGGAATGAGCTGTTTGCTTGGCTTGTGTAAATGCTCCAGAGCTACTTCAGATTAAAATATACTTTTTTTTACTGTTAATGTGCTGGATGTTGAATGCAGAGCTTGTTTTACACAATCCATGGTGCAGAGTGTTAGTTTAAAAAATGTTGTGCTCATTCGTGGTTCATCAGTGAAGATTTTAAAGTCAGTGTTTTTCATAAAATAAAACTGTATTTGCAATCCGCACAATCTTCATAACCCACTTCGAAGCTGTTCAAAATAAAAGCTTGTTTAATATTGAATGTATCGTTCCTCCAAATTGCACCAAACTTGCATGCCAAGTGGGAAGTAGATAAGATGAATGGTTTATTATATGTGTTCCACCTACAGACAGACAAACTTCTGGAGTGTGACCTTCAAAATACAAGGGCTTACATCTGTAATCATGACGGCTACACATTTTCCCTGACTGGGGCTCAGCCTCTACTAGTGTTTTCCCATAAGGGAATTTTTCAGTTTTGTTATTTTTCATTGAACACTCACCAAAACCTTGACAGTCTGAGTTTCTTAACAGCACTTTGAAAAACAATGTTTTATTTCTTTTAGAAGAAGCTGTGTGTCTGTGTTCATCCTGGATGTAATTAATCGTCTCTATGGGTATATTTTCCAGTGTGACTGTACTCCAACACTACAATTTATTTTGGGTGAAGCTGCCAGGACCAATCATCTATCACCATGGTGTTACACCTCGCCCACCTCAGTCAACCACTACGCTTCCTCCGGTACAGACGACCACATCCTCCCTCCTGCCAGGACCTGTGAGCGTTACAACATTTGGACTAATCATTGCGACACTGATTCTCTGTCTGAACATGCAGTTAATATCAAAAAACCTGAAAGCGAACTGATAACATATGGGAATATAAACACTTCTCCTCTCCTGTTACATGTTTAGTTCACATCTGACAGCTGCGGCCAGTCTAAATCCTGCCTGCTCGACCCTGCAGGCTGTGATCCAAAAGATCCTCACTGCTTCTTTCTTTCCATGACGACAGAAGGACCGAACAAAACGGTTTGAAGTTTAACATTTAATACAAGTACATGGTACATGGTACATGGTATTTTAAACATAAATAAAGCAGAAGCATTTGTTAACGAGGTGAATTTACCTGTTCATTTTTAAATCAACTGTCAAGATTAATGATGACCTCTGTCTCTGTGTCTCTGGTTTTGCTGAGAATCATTTTGTTACTCCATGTGTTGTGTACCAACCCAAACACACCCACTGTCAGTATAATAGATATTCATAGAATACAGTAATGGTAAACAGTTTATGAAACAGTAAATTCTATGTCCTGGCACTGTACAGCATCTAGATTGGAGTGACTGAAATGACAAGAATGATAGATGTTAAGATTTTCTAAGTCACATTATGTATCTTCATCAATGTTCTGTGCAGTCTGTGATGTTTGAGCTGAGTGGCCCAGCGGAAGGATACGTTTCCTTTGCGCTGTCTTGGGACGCATGGATGGTAAGATAGTTCCTCTATTTAACCCTAAACAATGCATAATATATAGGCTAGAGTGATGTCCGGTGTAGTCTGAAAACTATTAGCAGATTTGATCTTAATATAATAAGAAAAACTTCCTGTTATGATCTATTAACCTGACTTTGTCATGTATATGTTGTGTCATGTGTTTGTGTGTCTAGGGCAATGATGATGTGTATATGTGTGTAAAAGATGGGGACAGAGTCTCAGTGAGTGCTGCCTTCTTCAGTGGACGAACACATCCCGAGGACCAGACACAGGTGAGGTGACACATGACAAAGACATTCTGGATAAACTGAAGATGATTCTCTCTAAATTAAGAGGAGAAGAAAAAATAAAGTGGAGTCAGGATGTGGTTAGTTTAGAACAGACAGGAATCAGTGAGGGAACAGCTTGCCTGTGCCCAAAGTTAAATCTCTCTTATAAACTGCATTTTGACATTTTGGTCCCTTTTTTCAAGGACTTGATTTGCCTCCCCGGGAATATTATGTAAATTAATCTTGTCACATATGAAATGAATATCAACAACATGCTGCTCTACTCCAGTCCATCCAGTGTCAGTAGTGTCAAGTACCATAGTGTTACCAACAGTAACACTGTATAAAACTGTATAAGACTGACATTACCAGTAACACTGTCTGTCTGTGATATGCTTTCTAATCTGATGCCTTGTTAATATATATAACAGTGGTTTAAACTTTTTTTGTATGAAACATAACAAACTTTAATAAAGCTTGAGTCTATGAACTTCCATTCTCCAAAAACCATGCTGTCTCACATTAGTTGCGTGTAAACACAATTTGCAGGGACAGGGTCACCAAAGTTTTCTAATACTGTGTGTATCAGCACCTCTTGATCTTATTGATCCATAAAACATTATATCCTGCTGTTTCTGTATTGTAAAAATTGTACAAAATAAAACTAAGGTTATGGTTAGAGGGAATGACAAGATGGAACAATTTAATGTCATCCAACAGCTGAGTGTAATGACTGTGGTGACCTACTGGAGACTTGTTTTGATGATGTTGCATTGGTAACACATCTACAGAGACCCAAACCTGTGCTTACCAACTGTATGTGTAAACCAGCACCATAGTGATAGTATCCCCCTGCCAGGCTGATTGTCCCCTGCTCCCTGTCTTGATGCTTCGCTGGATTAACCACATCATGAGTCCCACTCTGTACTGGCACAGGACACGAGATAAATATGCAGTATGTTTACTGTGCAGTACAGTAGAAGGCCAACAAATCTATTTCCCACAAAGGCCGAAGCCACCTAAATGTCATTCCTGTGTCACTCCTTCTCTGTGTGAGTGTGTTTGCAGGCTGGACTCTCCTCAGTATCATGGCGACTGGCAGATGGAACCATCCAGTGCAGGTTCAGTAGACCAGTCAAAGTGGCCAATCAGGAACCAGGCCGCTATGACCTGAACCAAGAGTACTTTCTGTTTCTAGCCAGCGGACATGCTCAGTATGGTAGGCATAATACACATGAGTCACCTCAGTTCTAAACCCATTGACCCTTGCTGTCATCTTGGATCTTGGAGGCTGATTGAAGTTCTTATCAATCTGTCAGAGCTTTATTAAGGCACTGATCAGCATTGGATGTTGGACATCAAGATGTCATTACCAGGAACTGTTGAGGCCATAAAGTACAATATAATAAGAACAATACTGAAAATAAGCTTTATTAATATTGCACTTTCATTAACAAAGTTACAAAGTTACAAAGTGCAATGAAAGTAAGAGGTAGTTGCTTCTTCTCTGGGTGGTGTCCCACTCTTGTGTGTTGTTGATGAGGTTGTTTCTCCTGCTGTTTGTCAGCCTTGTGTTGTTATCTGACTTCAAAATATCTGATTCCTACCATGACTGTTAAACAGTAACACAGGGAACTTTTATAGAGCATATCTTGTGACTACCATACACTACTGTATTTATGACTGTATTACTCTATTCACTGACCTACTGTATAGTTACAAAACTATATTCCCCAGAGGAATTCAACAAGCACCCTCTTGGTCTCTTTCTTCCAGGTAAAATATGGAAACATAATCAACAACCATTAGTGTCCGTCCACAGAAAATGTATCACAGGCCCCTCTGAGGTACTGACAGGCTCCAGAGGACCCACCATCATGAAAGTGCATGGTACAGTACATTAATATAGCTAAAGACTAACTAGATCTGTCATTATAAGACAAGGACATGTTAACTAGGCTTACCCAGGTTTGATTCTAAATGTACAGAATGTAAAATATGTAAATATAATCACACCTCTTTCTATAT